TGTGTCCTGACATAAGAGTTACCAATGGCATGAATGCTTTCTTCCTTGCAGTTCCCATGGCTATTGAGGAACAGGTTGCTGTCATCTATGCTGGTGTAAGAGGTCACTTGGACAAGCTGGAGCCCAGCAAAATAACTAAATTTGAGAGTGCTTTCCTAGCTCATGTACTGAGCCAGCACCAGGCCCTCCTCTCCACAATCAGGTATGATGATTCATCTTACTTGACCCCAAGGGTATTGACTCGTTGGCTTGAGTGCAGATAATGGTCACTGAACTGATAAGTTAGTGTATCTTGGAACATCAGGCCTTAAGTTACCTGTACCGGAACTGGAGGTTACACCAGCCTCCTGCGGTCCTTGCACTGCTCTCCAGAGCTCAGCTTCATGTCTCCAGTCTTGACTTACAAAATCCAGCTGATGCTTAAAATGAACCTTTTTGCATACCTCTAATATGATACCAAAATCATTTAATCTAGTCAGTTCCCATATTTTTGACAGCTTTATGCTGTTACGGCACCACGGATTGAGTGCTGGTGAGCAGACTGTTGGGGGATGGCATATTTCCACAGTCCTGTCCTCTGAACTGGTCCCAGCTGGTGTCATCAGTCAGATCACATGCCTTCCATCTCTGAGGCACAGCTCTAGAGAAGACGGAGCCTTGTTGAACTACGTACAGCTGTTTTGAAATTATTTTTTACAAACCTTAGTTCTTAAACAGGACTGATTTTTTTAGAAGGGATGTTATTGATGGGATGATTTCTGCATCAAACAGAAATGTGTTAATTTGGTTAGAAATGGGAAGGTTCATCGTAAAGTTTTTTCTTTTTCTTTGCCTTAGTCAGGCATTGACCATCTATCTATTCCTGTCTCAGAAGCTTAACTAAACTCTTTCAACAGGACCGAAGGGAAGATCTCTGACCAGACAGAAGCGAAGTTGAAGGAAATAGTCACAAGTTTCCTGGCTACGTTTGAGGCATAAACTCTTTAAAACTGTTCCAACAGACCAGGCTGTTTCCGTGATCCCGTGCTCCCGCTCCATCAAAGACTTAAAAGTATGTGCGACTTGAATGTACAGATCTCAATGAGAATAAAAGTTTCCGTGTAAAAAGGCTTCTATAGTCTGTTCTGAATTATTGCCTTTCTGGCTGGGTACTTGAGCACCACATGGCCCTGAAACCACAGAGCCAAACTGCCTCCAGCACACACTTGATAAAGGAGCTCTGAAAAATGGGGGGGCAACTTAACAGTTGGGTGGATTCAACTCCCCTTGCAAGAGCAGGTCGGGGTGGCAGCTGCATTCTGTGGCGCAGACTGGAGTTCCTGTCCTGACAGAGTTGCGGGTTATAGAATTTTCTAGGTTGGAAGGGGCCTTTAAGATCATAGAGTCCAACTGTTACCCTAGCACTGCCAAGTCCACCACTAAACCATGTCCCTCAGCACCACGTCTACTTGTCTTTTAAACACCTCCAGGGATGGCGATTTCACCATATCTCTGGGCAGCCTGTTCCACTGCTTAAAAACCCTTTCTGTGAAGAAATTGTTCCTAATACGCAATCTAAACCTCCCCCAGCACAATTTGAGGCCGTTTGCTCTTATCCTGTTGCTTGTTCCTTGGGAGAAGAGACTGACCCCCACCTCGCTACACCCTCCATTCAGGGCCACGGAGAGAGCGAGAAGGTCTCCCCTCAGCCTCTTTTTCTCCAGGCTGAACACCCCCAGTTCCCTCTGCTGCTCCTCACCAGACGTGTGCTCCAGACGTCTCACCAGCTCCGTTGCCCTTCTCTGGACACGCTCCATCACCTCAATGTCTGTCTTACCGTGAGGGCCCCAAACCTGAACACAGCACTCGAGGTGGGGCCTCACCAGTGCCCAGTACAGGGGGACGATCACTGCTGGCCACACTATTCCTGATGCAGGCCAGGATGCTGTTGTCCTTGGCCACCTGGGCACACTGGCTCATATTCAGCTGGCTGTCCACCAACACCCCCAGGTCCTTCTCCACTGGGCAGCTTTCTACCCACTCTTCCCCAAGACTGTAGTGTTGCATGGGATTGTGACCCAAGTGCAGGACCTGACTCTTGGCCTTGTTGAACCACATACTCTTGGCCTCGGCCCATCGATCCAACCTGTCCAGATCCCTCTGTAGAACCTTCCAGCCTCAAACAGGTCAACACTCCTGCCCAACTTGGTGTCATTTGCAAATCGACCGAGGGTGCACCCCATCCCTGTGTCCGGGTTGCTGCTGTTAGTTTTGCCCATTTCACTGACAGCTGCTCTCTGAGAAGGGCGCACAGCCGGGGAAGCAGTCTGCACCACTTCATCACAGGTGGTGACTAGCTGGACTTTACAGTGTTCTTTAACGGTCTGATGCTGTGACAGAGCAATTTGTAGAATTGCTGTCTAACCTGGCTTGCAGAAGGTGGGTTCCTTCAGAAGCGGCTGTCCTTGTCTCGGGACAGCTGTACATTTCGCTGCTAGAGTAGTAACTGCTGGAGATGTAATTGTAGTTGTCAACTACAACTCTGTAGTTGACTCCAGTTCTGTCAGTTAACTCTGCAGTTGTTAATGGTTTGCGGGGAGGTTACCTACCAGGGCGTCTTTTTCATTTCCTGACTTTCTGCATGATGTGTGAGATGGAAGATCCCCATGTTAGAACTTCTGCCTCGGGTGTGGGAAAGTCATTTTTAAAGTGGCTCCGCTTCGTGTGGTGTGTTCAGCTTTAGCTGGTACACTGGAACTTGGTCCCTAACCCTTGGTGAGCCTCTGCACCGCAGTTACGTCATCAGGACATCCGTTGGGGCTGTTCGCTCTGTCCCCAGTTTACGTCCTTCACAGGAACATCCTGCCTCCCAAGCTCAAACCTGCCCTGTTACAAGCGGGTGACACAGTGACTATGCCCCAGCTGCTTGCTGGTGTTGCTGTGTCATGTTTTACTTACGTGCTGCTGTAGTTAAGAAAGGACCAACCTTGGGTGTCTTAGTCCAAAATTGCGCAGAGAGGTATTTGTTTCTGATAATAGATAAATAATAGATAAACACATATAAGTTGTGGCTGCCCCATCCCTGGAGGTGTTCAAGGCCAGGTTGGACGGGGCTTGGAGCAACCTGTGCTGGTGGGAGGTGTCCCTGCCCATGGCAGAGGGGTCAGAACAAGATGATCTTTAAGGTCCCTTCCAACCTAAACCATTCTGTGATTCTATGAAAGTTCTGATTTCTGCCCTGTTGCTGCTGTGGCTTAGGGAGGTGGTAACTTCCTCATGAAAGCACGGTGTGGTGAATGAGTCCGGTGAGATAAAAGGTGTGGTGGGGCTGTTTTGGAAGGATGGGTCTCAAGTTCCCAGAGGTGCCGTGGGTTGTCCTGGCCGTGGGGTGGTGCTGGAGAGCCGAGAAATAGCGGGTGGGTCGTGGCGGTGAGGGTTTGTGCCCCCTTCTGCTGGGAGTGTCCACCAGCTCATCCCACTAAATCAGCTGAAGAGCTGACTCAGAAAATCCCAGAAAGATCCCAGAAACGCACAGTTTCAGCGTGGTGTCCCGTGACACACGGCTGCTAGCTCTCTGCGCAGGTGACGCCGAAGCTGATGTGCGGCTGTTGCGGTGGGGCTGATGGTCACCACTGCACACGCTGCCCTGACCTGCTGAGCCTTCATCCATACTGCTCTCTCCTCGCTGTGGGTCTCAACCCCACTTGGGCTTATCTGCCTGTCCCAGAGCGTGCCCTTCCAGCGCAGCTAGATCTGATGGAGAAAATGTGGAAATTTATTCCAGAATTCACACTTTGGTGTTTTTGGTGTGCTGGCAGCTGGGTGGATTGAGCTGCAGCCGACAGATGTTCAAATGGAGTTGCTAAAACCTCTTCAAAGCTTTGACCAAAACCTTTCAGATCTGAAACAGAGACATGATGCTACTTCTGCTGCCAGGGCAGCCACGGACACCGAAAGAAAAGTTCATGCAAACCTGGATTTTGCAGTATAAACCTCAGAAACATTTACCAAGTGGCAGTGGCCTCAGGTCACTTAATGAATTAAGTGGAAAATTACTTTTTTTACATTACTGGATGGCCTTAGCTGTCCCTGTGTTAAAGTGGAGGCAGCAGGTTAGGGCAGTGGGTGTGATTCAGGCTTTCCAGCACAGTGTCCCGTCTCACAGAAACATAGATTGGTTTGGGTTGGAAGGGACCTTGAAGATCATCAAGTCCCACCCCCCTGCCATGGGCAGGGACACCTCCCACCAGCCCAGGTTGCTCCAAGCCCCGTCCAACCTGGCCTTGAACCCCTCCAGGGATGGGGCAGCCACAGCTTCTCTGGGCAACCTGCCCCAGGGGCTCACCACCCTCACAGCAAAGAATTTCTTCCTAATATCTAATCTAAATCTGCCATTTTCCAGTTTAAAAATGTTCCCCCTCATCCTATGTTTCCCCTCCCTGATCAAGAGTCCCTCCCCAGCTCTCCTGGAGCCCCTTTAGGGACTGAAAGGGGCTCTAAGGTATCCCTGGAGCCTTCTCTTCTCCAGGCTGAACACCCCCAACTCTCTCAGCAGAGGGGCTCCAGCAGTCTGATCATCTTCACGTCCTTCACCTGCTTTCATCTTTTTTAAGAACGACTCAGGGGTCTCTCACCCAGTGTCACATCTCAGGCAGTGTCCCCTGATCAATTAAGGACCAGAACAGGATGCGTACGGTGAAACCTTCCCAAAATACTCCAGCAACCCCTGGCCAAGCCGGCTGGGGACGGCACCGCACTGCCGTGCTGCTTGCCCTCCGCCCTGTGTTTCCTCCGTGAATCCATGCGGGTCGGTGGCGTTTCGCAGTCACCAGTGGGTTTGTGGGGCAGCAATACCATGCCTGGTGTCCCCCACCCATCTGCAGCCACGCACCCCGGTCTCCCCACCCACGGAGAGCTCTCGGCTCCACGCAGCCAGTGGGGTGGATGTCGCCGTG